AAGTAGCTGGGACCACAGAAGCATGCCACCATGCCCAGCTAATTTTATTTTATTTTTTTGTAGAGACGAGATTTTACTACACTGCCCAAGCCGGTCTCAAACTCCTGGCCTCAAGTAATCCTCCCACCTCAGTCTCCCAAAGTGCTATTACAGGCATGAACCACCATGCGTGGCCTACTTTTTGAGTCAAAGAGGACATTTGGATGCAGGAGACTTTATGAAGTTTGGGGACAGCCAGAGAGTATGAATGGGTTATAAAGGAAGACTAGTCAGTGTTTCTCTCTCCTTGTTGCTTCCTGGCAGTCTCATACTACCTTCCTGATACAGACAGAAGGCTTTGAGGACACGGTGGCCATAGCGGTATGCTGGGTATCTGGGGCAGCGGGTAGGGAAATATACAAGGAAACATGGCTGGCTTAAAACACAGACTAGAAGTCCATGGATTTCCTAATGGCATGAATGAAAAGGCTGCATGAGGCGCTGCTACTGTAGGAGGGTAGGGGCTCAGGCATCTGGACTGCCCATCCTGTCAGAACCATTTGTCCCATGAGCTAGGTCAGGACAACTCTCACTTGTTTTGAGCTTAGGGTAAAACCTGACCTCTTTCAAAGTCCAGAGCAGGCAGCTGCTGAAAGCGTGTTTGGTCAGAAGATTCCGTGTTCTTAACCGATGTCTACTGGCTGGGGGTCAGTTTTCCCTCCGGGCATCTGGGCATGGCTGGACTTGGGAAGGATTCACCCTGTCGACTCCAGAGAAGCTATCACATCAGCTCTGAAAACTCTTTTGCCTGAGCCTGCTCTTTGGGGACCTCTCTCTCAGCTAGCGGTAAGATGTTTTGTTTTATTTTATTTTATTTTGAGATGGAGTCTTGCTCTGTCACCCAGGCTGGAGTGCAGTGGTACAATCTTGGCTTACTGCAGCCTCCACTTCCCCGGCTCAAGTGATCCACCTGCCTCAGCCTTCCAGGTAGCTGAGACTACAGGCACGTGCCACCATGCCCGGCTAATTTTGTATTTTCTTAGTAGAGTCAGGATTTCTACTAACTGACTGACTGGTCTCCAACTCCTGACCTCAACTGATACACCCACCTTGGCCTCCCAAAGTGCTGGGATTACAGACACGAGCTACCGTGCCCAGCCTGCAAGATGTTTTAATTTCTCTTTTGTTCTCACCCTCTACAGCAGATGGGGCGCCAGGTACGTTGATTCAGTTCCTGGAGTCTCTTTATCACTACTTCTGCCTCTTCCCTCACTCAAGCCTTGGTTGCAGCAATAACCCCCCAACAGCTCAACGGGCCATGCTCTGTACTGTGGCCAGAACTTTCTTTTCCAAGCATAACTCAAATCGCCATAATGTCCCCTTTTAAAAAAACACTCTTAGGGACTCCCTGTTGCCTTCCGAATAAAGTCTAAATTTCTTGTCATGCCACTCACCTCTCCCCATGGTCTGGTCCCAGCCCACCTTTTCTCGCCCTCCTCAGCCTTCCAAAGCCAGCCCCAATTTATCTTACATGCTCCCTGTCCGTGCCTTTCCTCTCTTCCCAATGCCTGACCAACTCTTACCTTCCAGAAGCTACCAGTAAAATCCCACCCATTTCTCAAACCTCAGAAATTTATGTCAGTTCCAAGACCGGTGTTCTCTCCATCAGATTATAACCTTTGGCCGGGCGTGGTGGCTCATTCCTGTAATCCCAGCACTTTGGGAGGCTGAGATGCGTGGATCATTTGAGGTCAGGAATTCAAGACCAGTATGACCATCGTGGTGAAACCCTGACTCTCCTAAAAATACAAAAATTAGCTGGGCATGGTGGCAGGCACCTGTAGTCCCAGCTACTCAGGAGGCCGAGGCAGGAGAATCGCTTGAACTGGGGGAGGCAGAGGATGCAGTGAGCTGAGATCACACCACTGTAGTCCAGCCTGGGTGACAGAGCTTTTCTTGTCTAGAAAAAAGAAAAAAAAAGATTCTAACCTTCTGCATGAGAGGAACTGTGTTTTCCTTATCTCTGCATACTCTCTGGTGCCTTCTACACACTGGAGAAGCAAGACATGTTATAAGTTAAGTGAAAAATTAAAATGCAGTAAGTTTTGAACCAGGTACTGTAACTGGGCATTTCGTGGGCATTGTCTCATTCAATCCACCTTGTTATACAGGTGGGTAGATAGACTCTAAAAGGTCAAGTGAGCCGCCCACAGCCATCTGCACCAACAGGGGCAGAATTAGGATTTGCACTCAGGTCGGCTCCCAAAATTCCATTTTGATGGGTCTGAAGCATCCCCAGGCAAAAGAAAGTCACCTGGCTGTCTCACTCCAGGGAAACCAAAGGAAGCCCTGTCTCCTCCCAAGGAGTTTAACTGTCATCTCTCTGCTCTTTCACGACACAAGGTGCGGGAACTGGATTCATAGTGATGGCAGGTGAGCACGATCCAGCGTTCCTATTTCAGGAGACGTCTCATTCCTCTCGGCCAAACTCACTTTTGTGAAATGGGGTTGGAGCTGCTACAGGCCAATTCAGGGGGAAGAGGGAAATAAACGGGCCATAACCCGAACAACCCCCAAATACCCCATCAACCCTATTTTGCCCACCCATTGGTTAATTCTATTTTGCACTTACGGTTGGCTACAAGGCCTGGATGAAAAGCCACCACAAGAGGGCAGTATTTCCCCATCCTGGATCTGAGCTAAACTCTAAATCTGGACTCCACTCTGGTCCTTGATAGGTTACTCAACAGAGAGAGGCTTTTGGTATCAGGAATTCTGGCAAATGAAAGAAACACATCAGATCGCCCTCCTGCCTTCTAGCCTGGAGTTGTGAAGCAGCTTGTGTTGGGATTGAAAGGTGTTTACTTACAAAAAAAAATCTTTCTGGAGAAGAAGGATGAATCCTGGTTATATAATCATTTCTTTGGACTCCTTGACAAAATGAGACAATGTTTCCATCTGTCTGCTACTAAAAGGGTAGGGACATGCAGAAAGGAGGTGCCTGGCACATCGTAAGCTCTTCTAAGTATTTATTCCCTGATGGAAAAGCATTCCTGCATAAAGCTTGACTTGGAGTGGGAAGCACTGATCAATTTCTCTTTGATGGGGATTGGACACAGCAGTTTCCTTCCCTGGGGAACTGGGGAGGCGTCTCCAAAGGTACAAAGGATTGGAAAGAAAGCCTTCCGGAGAAAAGCTACTAGGAGCTGGAACTGTGTTTGCAGGAAAGGAGTTTAGAATGGGCTTCCCTTCAGGATAGAAGGGGAATCTAAATGCATCAAATTCTGGGACTGCCCCTTTCATTGGGAGATAGCCCCCTTAATCAATTTCCCATCCTCTCCCCATGCCCTGAACCCTTTCTAACTAGAACAATTACGGGGCTTCCAAATGTTTCAGGTACATGGGCGTGGACCCTTAATCATGGACACGTGTGGGATTAATACAGGCCAGGGACATGTTTCTTGGCATCCAGGGTCTTCAACGAAAGCAGTGGCGATCTAAGATCGACACACTTGTGCAGGGAAGGGGATGGAGAGAGAGTGTGGGATGCTAAGTCTTTGTTCTTTACATCTGTGGAAGACTGAGCAGGGGAAATTGTAATTAAAGGAAGGCAGGGGAGATTATAGCTGGCATGAAGTCAAGCTCCACATGGCAGTAACGGGACACTGGTGGGGGCTGCCAGGGATGGTAGAGCAAGGTGAGACATAGATTGCCTTTTCACTTTAACAGTCTCCTGGCCTGGGTCCTTTGGGGTCTTGGTGCCCTCATTGTAAAGGCCTTTCAAAGAGGGCCAGTGCACTTCCTCTTTAGCGGGCACCCAAACTGAACACCAAGATATGCCCACGCACAGCATATAAAAGAAATGTGGTTTTTCTGTATGGCAAGACACAACAAACAGGGTAGAACTAGCAGAACATTCCCTTTCCATCCTTGGGGACCCTACAGTCTGGGGGGCCACTAGGATTTCTTGTTTCTTTCTCGGAACTGCCTGACATTAATTTGTAGTACTTAAAAAAGTATAAAAAGGGATCCCTTCCCACCATTTACTTTGAGAGAGTAAATTCAACAGGTTGCCTCTTAGGGAGAAATTGCACCAGCCCCAATTCCTGCCGAAGACTTGGCTGCCCATTTTTGATCTGAGTTGAGGGTAATTTATTTGTCAAAATTACTTTAACAGGTTTAAAACTTTGGAGATCAACTGTAGAGGGCAACAAACCTGAGGGCCAAGTTCTTCCCACCCCGAGTTGTGGTTGTTATTGAAGAAGCCACGTGGGACCTCATTGTGGCAACTCTTTCCAACCTCATCCACTTTAACGAGCTCCCATCATTTCATCCCCAAGGGTGAAGCAGCAAGCCCCCTTTGGGGGAATAAAAAAATAACAATCATATTGTTACTTGATATTGTTTCCAGGCACCAAAGCTTTAACATTTAATCCATTCATATTCTTTAGGTTCATATGACATTATGACTAGGAAAAACTGAGGACAAAGGACCCATCCAAAGTCACCCGGTGGCAAAGTGGAAGATCCTTATTGCCACCGGGCTTCTTTGAACAACGTAACTTCAGGACCCCTTGGTATTGCTGGAAGGGGGGACTCAATGGACGTGCACAAGTCAAGTGATTCTGGTTGGGATGGCTGGGTTTGGAGAGGGGATTTGCCCAATCCATTGGATGGGTTCATGTCACATGAGGGCTCTGCTCAGTGGTATCGGAATCTAAATGCATCAGATTCTGGGAATGCCTCTCTCATTGGGAGATAGCCCCCTTAATCAATTTCCCATCCTCTCCCCATGCCCTGAACCCTTTCTAACTAGAACAATTACGGGGCTTCCAAATGTTTCAGGAACATGGGCGTGGACCCTTAATTATGGACACGTGTGGGATTAATATGGGCCAGGGACATGTTTCTTGGCATCGAGGGTCTTCAATGAAAGCAGTGGCGATCTAAGATCGACACACTTGTGCAGGGAAATGAGATGGACAGAGACCCGGCCCATCACACACGCATATACACACGCACCACCAAAATGTCATCATAAAAAAGAAGGGGACTTCAGCAGCTGAGGGACTGGCTCAGAGAGCTTGTGCCTAGTTCCTGCAGCCTTTCCAGGGGAACCCCAGAGAAAAAAAAACCCCACAGCGACGGCCATGTTCCAGTGGTTTCATGCACCCGTGAGCTGCCCTTGTCAGCAAGAGAGGGGGCGGGAACAGAGTTTTGTAAGAGCCACTGCAGATTAGAAAAGCATTGCATCGCAGCAGGAAAACTCAAGGAGGAAACCCAGGAGGGCCGAGGAGACCACTGAGGGGCGAGAACCCCGAGGAGGGAAACCAGGGCACAGCGACAAGGACAGGAGGCAGAGCGAGGGCCACGCAGGGTCCCAGAGGAAAGGTTCAGCAGTGTCTGTCCACGCTTACAAAACTTGCAGCCGGCTGGGCAAGAGGGTCCAGTTAGGAGCTGAAAACCCTGTGGAAGGAGAAGTCGGGGGCAGTTAGTGCTGCAGGGACGAGGCTGCTGTGTTTCCTCTGAGTGTCCCAGAGAAAATCGCCCACGCTCTGGGCTCAGGGGCTTCGTGATCCTGGCTCACTGCAAGCTCCACCTCCTGGGTTCACGCGATTCTCCTTCCTCAGCTCGAGGGTCTTCAATGAAAGCAGTGGCGATCTAAGATCGACACACTTGTGCAGGGAAATGAGATGGACAGAGACCCGGCCCATCACACACGCATA